ATACACTGACAATAAAGATATAGGTGATTTAACCATTTGTAATATAGTTTACAAACCTAACTAGGGTCATACAAAGTTTTAAACCAAAACTGGCCAAATCACGTGTGAATCCAGTCATAAGAAGGCAGGAAATGGAAAAATGAATCCAAGGAACAATGGATGTATGAGGAAAGAATACTTCAGCAGAGAAAAAGGCTGACTGGATGCTACGTTGCTGCTCTTATAGACAGCAAAGACTATTGCTCATTTCCACAAATCTCTTCCGTTCTTGGTGGCACCCAACAGGAATATTTATTGTAAGGATTCTGTATACTCCCTTCTTGGGGTGCTGAAGTGTCATAAATTATATATATACAACCATCTCTGTTCAACAGTTCTAATAGACTCCTAGGGAGGGGAGATTTTGTTTTTCTGGTAAAGTGGAATCAAACTATTGGGGGAAAAAGGGAAATGCCACACTATATTAAATATAGAAGTTTGTAGTAGCACATGCACCATTTATTACAACAACTTTTGGCTGCTTTTGCAAGCTCAAATTAACACTGATGATTGTTTACTTTGGAGCAGCCACTAAGGCAGTTGTTTCTCTGCCAATTTGCCAAATTCATCATCCCTCAAGGGTGTGGGATCAGTGTAAATTGACAAACTGCTGCGGTTCACACTGATAAAAGTTGCTGGAGATCTGATTTCTTTATATCCAGTTCTAACACATTTAATACCTGTCTGAAAACAACTGGCCCAGTTGTTCAACAGTGCTCTGATGTTACCTTGTTTAGGTAATAAAACATCTGCATAAAAACAACCAAGTTCAAAGAGCACTCATTTCAACCCTTTTTTAATGTTCTCCTTTTCTGAGCATCTCTCTTTCTCTCATCTATGTGTATTCCCTTGCATATCTATGAGTCAGAATGTCTGTATGTCTACATTCACACATACTTTACCCAATTCATGCATTGAACAATTTGAGCTCTTATTCCCAAACACTAATGGTAATTATATTAGTCTTTCCTGGATTGAAGGTACATTCACCCAGATAGCATTAGGTATTTTGCTGCTTTGAAGGTCTCCTTGTACTTTAAATTTAAATGTGCTTTAGGGAGTGGATCAAGCACAACCAGTATTGCTTAAGCAGGTTTTAGTGAGGCTGTGAGAATGATGTCCTCTTCATGTCCTCTACTCATGGTGCTCTATTTGCAGGTTGCCTGTAGAATCCCTCCAGATCTTGTGGACTTCCTTGCAGGAAGTTGTCCCCTGGAATTCATATGGACAATCTCATGGTTTTATTTTGTGTGGAGAAGCTCTGTTAGCTTGGGCATAGTGCTGGGCTGTGAGTCTTTGCCTCTGGATCATCCCTGCTATTTTATGGAGGCGTGTTAATCTGGTATATTTTCACGGCATCAGTTTCTTTCTAAGAAAGCAACGTGCTATTTTCTGCCTTTAACCAGCTTGGGGGTGCCTGCAGTATACTGACTGACCTAGTATACTTGGGAAGTTTTTTTTTTCACACATTAAATTCTGCTGCACTGACTTCTGAAAACAAGAATGTAGCAAAAATAACTCTTTAAGAAGCAAAGTGTATTCTTTTAGACCAGGGGTCCCCAAACTTGGCAACTTTTAAGACTTGTGGACTTCAACTCCCAGAATTCCCTAGCCAGCCATGCTGGCTGGGGAATTCTGGGAGTTGAAGTCCACAAGTCTTAAAGTCACCAAATTTGGAGATCCCTGTTTTAGCCAATGCTCCCAGTTTAACATCATCCTTACCACATCTATAAGAAACTATAAGCTAGCACTCTTACCTATTTTTTACTATTCCAGCTGAGCCACGTGCTTGCCAGGAGGCATTTCATTATACCACATCCATGATTTATTAGAAATTAACTTTCATCTCTCTTATACATACATTGAACCTTTTATTTTTGTACCCTAAAACTGACTTGCCTCAGGAAGTGTGACTAGGTTTATCTGGGGTATATAAACTAGAAAACTTTTTTTTTCAAACTTTTGAATTTACAAAAATGTATTACTAATACATAACAAATACTTGCAGGTCTGATTCAGATTTAATAGGAAAAAAACACACATTTTTGTTATATGAATCACCCTGCATGGGATTCAGTTTTATGCACTAGCTACAGTTTGTTGTGACATCTGGACGGATGGACACATCAAGCATACTTGGTAGTGAAAGGTCTGGAATACTAATAATAATGTGGAAGGCCACATGTTCTCTATCCTAAGTTGTACATTTTAGCTGATGAAAAGCAATATACATACCAACAGTTAGGTTAATTTCTGAATAAGAGAAGCAGTGTTCGTAAATGAATGATAATGCCCTTCTTGAATGCAGTATAGTTATTGTGAAAATTTAAGGAATGAATGAATTAGTCTTTTGCATCAACTTCTGCTAAAGATGGCATTGTGAAAACAATTAATGGAGGAAATAGGATTAATGAAGACAGAAAAGGATTAATAAAGATAAACGACTAGGCAAGATCCATTGAGTAATGTACCTAAGTAAGGACTATGATTCAATCACTCACGACAGAAGTCTGATGAAAATTAAGAACTTTATGGACCATATGGTATGAAATTTCTACTAAACCATCCACCCCAAAAATTTTGTCATTGGAATAACCAAGGCTGACCTGATGGAAGACTAGAACTCCAATATGCCCTCTTGCTTACTTTGTTACCATAGGAATGCACATAAATGACAAACATCTATGATGTTGAATTCTATAAAACCTCAACCATCAGGAGATACAGAGCAGAATTAAAATTTTGTTGAGTTCCAAAGTTGGAATGGAGCATGTTCACCAATGGGAGATGATAGACAGACAGACAGACAGAACATTGTAATTATTTTATTCAGGGCTTGATCAAGTTATCCTGCTAAGAGGACAAATAAAGTTGTATCTTCCCATTCCATGTACAGCAACCCTGGTGGTGGACCAATATCCTCCCCTTTTAATATATAGAATTTTCTCCATATGCAGAAAGCCAGTTAATAAGATGCAGGTTAACTTACATTGGGCAGAATCCAGTAATAAGATCTTACTGTGTCCCGAATCTGCTATTAGAAAAGACAACCCCATTCTGACTAACAACAGAAGCCTATCTGGAATCTTTCTGGTTAACAATTCTCAGTGAATATCCTGTGTTAGCTGGGAGGCTAAGATGCAATTATTGCTGTTTCCAAGTACCTATATGTATGAAGTAAGATTTTCCATTCAGGCTTTCATAAAGAGCACATAACAAAACTGTTTGCTGAATCCTGGTTTTGGGTAATGAAGGAAAACGTTTGAGAAGCACTGCCCTTCTCCATCTGCTTCTTTTCTTACAATTATTTGTATCTACTTTCTCACTGAATGAGCACACTACTTTTTAGTGGGAATAGGCAGAGTGCATATTATTTATGCCTATTAATTGCATGTGCATAATTTTAAATTAATATGCAGATGCTCACTGGAAACTGACAAATGGTTAATGTAGTTCATTGGTGGTATAAAAAAGGTAGACATTATCTTCAAAAATTAGGCTAAGATGAGTTAATATTGACCTTGTTTAGCATTTTGTGACTTGGGAGTCTTCCCAACCAATGTATTGTGTGAACTCTGGAAACTGCATTAATGTCAACTTTGGGCCAATTAACCTTGGATTAGCATTTTGTGTAACACATAGCTGCAGGGTTCATTGATCTTAGTTCTTTGATGTTGCAGATGCAGATGGGATCCTATTTCTTAGGTGGCAAACAAATGTTCTGCCTTCATAATTAGAACTTATGACCCCTCAGTCATGGGCAAAACATGAACTTCTGATGCCACACAGCTACGGGATGTGATGCAAAGTAGGGTAAAAGTGCCTTGCCATATTGCGTCTGAAAAGATATGAAATTAAATATCTAATTGTGAAGCTCACAAAATGACTTCATGGACTTTTTGGAAATCCCGGGCAACCTACCTGACCTGCAGGGGCAGGGAGAGGACAAGGAGGGAGAAGAGGAAATTGTGCAGTTTTCTTCAGCTTGCTGCCATGCAGGACTGTTGTAACATGACCGTATTTGCTGGAAATAAGGTGAGTCACAAACCCATCCGGAGGGAATGATGTTGCAATATCATTCTGAGCTTCTAAGAAAGAGGTGGGCGACTTTCTGAAGGCTATGCTCAATCCTAAATAAGGTTTCAGGTCAGGAAGCCATGCAATCCACGAAGCCAAAAAAGGAAATAGAGGTGAGGCTACGGACAGGAGCAGTGTTTTTCTCCAAGACAACCCCGCCCCCGTGGATTTTTGGAGGCCTTTCTTTCCTCTTTGACCATCTTAAGCCTGCTGCAGAGCCTCTACTCTCAAGCAGGGTAGGCTAGCCTAGTTCTGAAAGGAAGGAATGGCTCCACACGAAAGGTAAATCACCTACATCAGAGTGAATCTGCCCTTTCACCCTCAAGAAACCCTTCCGCCAGCCTCTCCTTACGCCCCCGCAGGATGATTGGCAGATGCGGCGGGGCTCCTCACCCGCCACAATAAAGGGACGTGTTGAAAAGCAGCCGCTTTCTGCCCTGACGCGCCCTTTCTTCCTGAATTCAAGGGCGGCTCCTGGAGCGGAGGCCGGCAGGCAGGCAGTCACGTGCCGGCAGGCGGCGCTACGGCTGCTCTCGCTGCTCCGCGGCAGCCTCCGCCGCCACCTCCGGTCCTCAGTCCCAGTTAGGGCATCCACCGGCGTCGCCTCGCGTTGGGAGCGGCCGCCCGGGAGAAAAGATGCTCCGCCGGATGCGGCGGCGGCGAAGGCGGAGGAGACGGGACTTCTCGGGGGCCGCGCGCCTTTTGTAGCCGAAGCCGCCGCCTTCTCCATGGCGAGCGTGGCGGCGGAACCCCCCGCCAGGTTTGTGCGGCGCGGCCCGGCTTGGAGGAGGAGGAGACGGACGAAGACGGCCGGGGCCGAGGGTGCCCGGGCCCGTTTTTACTCCCGTCTCGCTGCGTCCTAGAAGCGCTACGGCGGTAGCGCCATGGCCGAGATGGAGCGTCCAGAGGAGGCGGCCCGGCTCTGGCGAGACGCCGCCCTGCGCGCCAGGAAGCTGCAGAGCAACCTCCAGCAATTGGAGCTAGAGCTGGGCTCCCGGGGAGAGAGCGGCCCGGAGGCACCGCCGAAGCTGAAATCCTCGCAGCAGCAGCAGCAGCAACAACCGCCGCCGCCGCCCTCCCCCCTGGAGGCATTGAACCTGAGCGGGCGCGGCCTGGATGAGTTGCCGGAGGGCTTGTGCGCTGCCGTGGGCAGCAGCCTGAGCGTCCTCTCGTTGCGGAGGAACCGACTAGCTCATCTGCCCTCGGCCGCCGCCCTTCGGCACCTGGGCCGCTTGGCCGAACTCGACCTCAGCCACAACCGGTTGCGCTGCCTGCGCGACGACGGCCAGGCGCTGGTGCTCCTGCGCGGGCTCCGTAAACTCAACCTCAGCCACAACCAGCTCGGAGCCGAAGGGACGCTGCCCAGCGGGTTGGGCGAACTGCGACAGCTGGAGGAGCTGGATCTGAGTTTCAACCGCCTTAGCCACCTGCCGGCCGAGGCCCTGGCCCACCTTCGACAGCTCCGCACCCTGGACGTGGACCACAATCAGCTTTCTGCCTTCCCTCAAGCCCTGCTGGAGCTGGACGCTCTGGAAGAGCTGGATTGCTCTGGCAACCGACTCTTACAATCTCTTCCGGAGGGCATCACATCTCTTCGGCACCTGAAAATCCTGTGGCTCAGTGGCACTGGCTTGACGGCCTTGCCCGAGGGCTTGTGCCAGCTGGGTACCCTTGAGAGTCTCATGTTGGATGGGAACCGCCTGAGTGTCCTGCCTGCTGGTTTTGGCAGCCTGCAGCGTCTCAAAATGCTGAACCTCTCATCCAACTTGCTGGCTGATTTCCCGGCAGCTGTGCTGGCCCTTCCTGGCTTGGAGGAGCTCTACCTCAGTCGCAACCAGCTTACCCTGTTGCCCGCTGGACTTTGCCAGCTTTGCCAACTCCGCACGCTTTGGCTGGACAACAATCGCATCCGCTACCTGCCTGATTCCATAGTCAAGCTTCATCAGCTGGAGGAACTGGTACTTCAGGGAAATCAGATTGCCATCCTTCCAGAGGGGTTTGGCCAACTCAGTCGTGTGAGTCTCTGGAAAATCAAAGACAACCCCTTGATCCAGCCCCCCTACGAGGTCTGTATGAAGGGCATCCCTTACATAGCTGCCTACCAGAAGGAATTGGCTCACTCTCAGCCTGCCCTTAAGCCCCGTCTCAAACTAGTCCTCATGGGCCTGAAAAATGCAGGCAAAACTCTGCTTAGAAAGTGCCTCATGGAGGAAGAGGAAGAGGAGCAGGCAGAGTCACCTTTCGGTTCGGCTAACAAGAATTTTGAAAGAACCGAAAGCAGGGGGTGCTTCATACAACCCCTGAGAGACCTGCCCCAACCTCTGTCTCCAAAAGCACAGCCAAACCATTGTCCCATTGTGGAACAGCCCGAGGCTTCCCCTTTGTCTGTCTCACCTCTAAAATGTTCCTGTTTAGGATATAACTCCACTGAGAAGAGGGATGTGTTCAGTCAGTCCCCCAAAGTTATTGGTCAGACCCAGACAGGAGGCTCTGCTGCTGAGCAGCAGGATGATATCCCATTGTCCCCATCAATTAAAATACATAGAGAAACCTGCTTGGGGAATTATCCCCTGAGGCCTCCAGGCTTACATGTAACAGGGTTGCCAGGCAGCAGCAAAGGTATTGAAGTGGTAGACTGGACAGCAGATGTAGAGAGAAGTCTAACCTTCATTGTATATGAGCTGGCAGGAGACCCAAGTTATGATGTGATCCAGCCGTTCTTCCTCTCTCCTGGAGCCCTCTATGTGTTGGTAGTAAATCTGAGTACTTACATGCCACAGTGTTTTTATCCTTCTGTGGGACATTTTCTTCACTGGCTGGGGGCAAAGGTGCCTCATGCTGTGGTATGTATGGTGGGCACCCATGCAGACCTGTGTCCTGAACGGGAGGTGGAGGAGAAATGTTTAGACATCCACCGCCAGATTGCCTGGCAGGAGAAATGTGACTATGAAGGCCTCCAGATTTTGGCCCGGCAGGTGGATGAAGCTCTGGGGCAGGATTTTGATTTGCGCTGCTCTAGCCCCCATGTTGCTTTCTATGGGGTATCAGACAAGAATCTACGGCGCAAGAAAGCTCAGTTCCAATATCTGCTCAATCACCGTCCACAAATCCTCTCCCCAGTTTTACCTATAAGCTGCTGGGATTGTGTTCAGGTCCGCCGATTGCGAGAGAAGCTCCTTTCCGTGGCAGAGCACAGAGACATCTTTCCAAATTTGCACCGGGTTCTGCCAAGATCCTGGCAGGTGCTGGAGGAGCTGCACTTCCAACCCCAAGCTCAACAGCTATGGCTAAGCTGGTGGGACTCTGCTCGACTTGGCCTGCAGGCAGGGCTGACTGAGGATCGTCTCCAAAGTGCACTTTCCTACTTGCATGAGAGTGGCAAACTGCTGTATTTTGAGGAGCACCAGACCCTGCGAGAATATGTTTTCCACAATCTGCCCAGGCTCATCGACATTCTCAATGTCTTCTGCCAGCATGATGCCTCAGTATTGCTCCAGAAACTGCTCAGCAGCACCCATATGGATGAGATGAAGGCCACACAGCTCCACCACTATGTGGAAGGATTTCTGCTTCATGGCCTTCTCCCTGCCCATGTTATTCATCTGCTTCTCAAGCCCCACATCCAAAGCAGAGAGGACTTGCAGCTTCTGCTGGAATTGTTAGAAAAAATGGGACTCTGTTACGGGGTTAACAAGGCCAAATCAAAACCCTTGAATGGAGCTACAGCATGGTACAAGTTCCCCTGCTATGTGAAGAACGAGATGCCTCATGCAGAGGCATGGATCAATGGTACTACCCTGGGTGGGCAGTCTTTTGGGGCAGAACAGCTGCAGATTGAGTACAACTTTCCCTTTATTTTTCCCCCTGGATTGTTTGCTCGCTACAGTGTGCAGATTAACAGCCATGTGGTTCAGCGGTCAGATGGAAAGTATCAGATCTATGCGTACAGGGGGAAAGTGCCGGTAGTTATAAGTTACAGGCCTGCCAAAGGCACCCAACAACCAGATACACTGTCTATTGCTAGCCATGCATCTCTACCAAATATATGGACAGCTTGGCAAGCCATAACCCCATTGGTGGAAGAACTAAATGTACTGCTTCAAGAATGGCCAGGCTTATACTATAGTGTGCATGTCCTCTGTTCCAAGTGCCTTAAAAGAGGGTCGCCCCACCCACATACCTTTCCAGGTAAGAAACTTTAGCTGATTGTCAAGATAATGTCTCCTTTGCATTGAGTTCAGTTTCCTAGTTGGTATATGGGCATAGCCAACTTGTTTTCTTGGCAATGGTACGAAAGTGTCTCACCGTTGTCTCTTTCTGGGATGTTTTTCAATTTCGAAGTCTAATCTACAGTCTTGGGATTTCCTGGTTATTTTCCATCTAATTAACTCACATTCTGTTTAGCTTTTGGGCATTCAACCAATTACGTGCTGCCAAATTTACAGTTTACAGTTTGCCAATAAGTGCAGGTAGTTGCCTGTAAAAAGGTAGATATAGGGAGCCATTTTACCACATATCTGCATAATTTTTTTTGTTAAAATCCCATTTAGCAGGATTATGTAGAGGATCATATCCTGACAGTCCAATTGTTGCAAAAAGAAAAAAAAATATCCAAAGGTAGGTTTGATGCTCTGTTCAGTTGCGATGGGTTGGACACGACTTCACAACTAACAACAACAAAAACAGGCCAATTTACTTAATCCAGATGAGAAATTTCAGCACTTCCCAGTGTTCTAGTCCAGCTGATTCTCAGTTATGACCAATTGAGCCCAACATTTTTGTTGTTAAAGTTGTGCCCCATTTTGTTATTTATTTTTTTTTGCCAAGGTTGTTTAACTAATTGCTACAGTTGTTAAGTGAATCATATGGCCATTAAGTGAGTCTAGCTTTCCCCATTGACTTTGCTTGTCAGAAGCTCTCTAAGAAGGTTGCAAATAACAATCCCAGGACCTTGGGATGCTTTCAACCATCATAAATACAAGTGGGTTGCCAAACACCCGAAGTTTGATCACCCATGACTGAGGACGCTGCAATGGTCATAAGTGTGAGAACTGATCATAAGACATTTTTTTTAGTGCCATTGTAACTCTGAACAGTCATTAAATGAAAGGTTGTAAGTCGAGGACTCGCTGTAAATTGTAGAAATATAATAAAAGTTCTTTGTATTACTTGACATAATTTAGGAATATTTTACTAGATACCTGTAGTAGTTATATATTGAAATTTGTCCACAGTGAAGAAGGTAAACATGAATTGTGTTCAAATTTTTGTGCACTATAGCTTGGCATAGTTTATTATTTTATCAAATGTCAAATGGGACTACAGTATGCAATAGAACATGTGTATATAGCTATCTGTATCTTTTCCCAAAATAATCCTGAAATAGTTTTGGTAACTTCTCCTAATTGTCGTATTGAGTAGTTATATTGCTGCGGTAAATTATTACTTAGTAAATAATCATTAATTTACTCTTTCTTGTTGAGTAGATACTGCAGCACTGTGAGAAAAGGTTCTAAACTTTATGTAGAATGTAGAATGCAACCTGAATGCTGCTTTATTTAGCTCTATGAGTATTCATTTCCATGCATTATTCACATTTTGATTGCTGCTGAATCCATATCCTTTTTTCAGGTGCTTCTGAAATTGTTTATGGTTGTGTTTGCACAAAATGTTGAGTTAAAATATGGTTGGCAAGGTTGTGGGAACGTTGCTGTTTAATTTATGATTCGTTGTATTGAATCATTGTATGAACCCAGCCAATTTAATTAACTGAGGAAACAGCAATTAAGTACACAGGTTCCCCCCCCACCTTCTCCACTGTATACGTATGCATGTATGTTGCTACCCTACATCTTAATAGGCCTATAATGTTTATGGCATCCAAGCCTTGTGCAATGGGCATCAATTGGAAATTTCTTCTATTCCCCAATACTTCTTTTTATATGTTTGTGCCTAAAACAAATTCTTTATATATTGCTACCATGTGGTTTGTCCTCTTTCCAGTGTCAACATGTGATTGACTCCCCACTTAATTTTTCTATGTGGAAATGGATGGGTGTGTGCTTGCTGCTTTCACCTCAGGCAGTCATAAGTTGTACAGACCTGATGAATAATATGCAAAATAATGCTGAATGTTTTTGAATGCTCATACAGCAAACAGCCTCAAAATGTTAAAAAAAAAACTATCTTAATTGGTTTTCAAAGAGTGTAACGGAAGCAAACAATATTTCATCAGGACTTTCATCTAAATTGCTTGTTAAGGGGAAAATTAAAACAGTTAAGTAAAGTGGAGCCTATTTTTTTCTTCTGGCAATTTGATCATATCTTAAAGAGTTTGTTGAACATGCTCAATATAGGCTTTGTTTATGGATTTATGATATACCTATCATAGTCATTAGATTTCTATCTAGCCTTTCATTCAGGAACTCAAGTATCATACATAACGTTCTCTCTTATTTTCTCTCAATAAAAACCATATGAGGTTTTCGCCTCTCCTAATCCAGCATTTCCATCACTATACCAAACTGGCCAGTGGTGAAATGTAAAATTTGTTACTACTGGTTCTGTGGGTGTGGCTTGGTGGTGGGGGTAATATGACTGAAGGCATGGCCAACTTTTTTTTTTTTACTTTTAAAACCATTTTTTCTACAACCTCTTTGGCTGAAGAGGTTGTAAAAAAAATGCTTTTAAAGCCTCTGACGATCCCAGCTGACTTGCCTGATTGGCAGAGGGTTTCTTTTTTTTTTTTTTTAGCCTCTGATGATCCCAGCTGAGCCGCGCGATCATCAGAGGCTTTTTTTTTACTTTTAAAAGCATTTTTTTCAGCCAAAGAGGTTGTAGAAAAAATGCTTTTAAAAATAAAAAAAAGCCTCTGATGATTGCACGGCTCAGCTGGGCAATGGGGGGGGGAGTAGAGAATTTTGCTACCGGTTCTCCGAACCACCCGCCTCCACTACCGGATTCGGTCCGAACCGGGAGCATTTCACCCCTGAAACTGGCTCTCATTGTGCAAAATCTATTTCTGTATACACTTCTAGCTTTCCTAAGCAAATATAAATAGCCAATGATTTTGATGTTTATTCATTTATCAGGATTTTTGTATTTCTCCAGTCTCTGTATATTGGCAATTTGCACTAGGAGCTCTCTACCCATAAACTAAAAGCAGACCAGTGGCTCCCCAAGAGACAGACATAATTATTTTAAGTGCATTGTAGCACAAGGGAAAGTGCACCAGATATACCTATGGGGTGGTGTCTTTGACAGTGTGGGAACCACTACAGAAAAAGATGACTTTCAGATGTATTCTCTTCTTTCCTATCATGGGGATGAAATGTTACAGGCCTGTATATTCTTACTATATAATATATAGAATTTATAGGCAGGAGTATATATTTACTTACTTACTTACTTACTTACTTACTTACTTACTTATTTATTTATTATATTTCTATACCGCCTTTCTCCCGTAGGACTCAAGGCGGTGTACAGTCAAGAAAAATATAGACACACAAACATCATAAAATTGCTAATTAAAATTATTACTTAGTTTGGTCAATTAAATAAAACCCAGAATTAGATCACATTTAAAAAATCATTCACATGTTCTTATGTTTAGCCCCGCCTGTTGGAACATCAGGGTCTTGAGGGCACGGCGGAAAGCACGGAGATCAGGGATATTCCGTATCTCCGGGGGCAGTTCATTCCAAAGGGTTGGAGCCCTCACAGAGAAGGCCCTCCCCCTGGGAGTCGCCAGTCGACATAATTTGACTGACGATACCCTGAGTAGTCCCTCCCTGTGAGAACGAACTGGTCGGTGGGAGGCTATTGGTGGCAAAAGACGGTCTCGTAGGTACCCAGGTCCTAAGCCATGGAGCACTTTAAAGGTGATAAATAATACCTTGAATCGCATATATATATATATATATATATATATGCCTTCATGCTTCAGTTGATCAGAGTAGAAACCCATAGAGAAAGCTAAGGCAAATTCTGGTACCATTTCCTGGTTGAGGCTGGAGGTGGTATGCATTATACATTCAGATAGCATGCCAGTGGCTGATACTTGCTATCCACACCTTTGGAGAAAAAAGGTAATATGTATGTGTGAATGTATAAAAGCACTGTATACCATCAATAGTGCCATTGCCTTATATTAGGCAGCATCAGCCACAATATTAAGGCTCTTGGCTCTGCCCAACCAGGTTATGTCACACTCTTTGCAGCTCTCAGCGGTGCCCAAGATTACATTATCTTGTAGGCCTTAAAGGAAGCCACTGAGGCTTTATCCCTTTTTCCCTAATTCACTGAGTGAATTATCCCCTTTTCTATCTTAACTTCTTCCAGAATCTGAGAAATGGTTGTGAAGACCTCTAAATTAAGTAAGACTGTGAGTCATTGTTCTGAAGAATTGCAAAATGTTATGTCTATCCCAGCTTTTAATTGTTTGAATAGGAGAGATAATCAACCTTCTCTTCCTTCCCCCATACCCGAGACATGACATAGTGTGGTGATTACTCTAAATTTTCAGTACAGTATGACAAACTGATTTTCTGATAATGGGTTGTCTTAAATTTATTGCTTTTACATCATAATTGGTACTTTTTTTGATTTGTAATGGAGACTTGAGTTAGAACACCAAGAGTAATTTTGGGAAACAGAACATAATATGCTGCCAAAAAGTCAAGACAAACATCTGATCTTAATAAGCAATGTATTTAGAAGGGCTTTCTTTTAGGCCATTCAAGTACTTGAGAATGTGTTTCATTAAGATGGAGAAGAAAAGAATTGAGCAGATTTTACTTCGTTCATATGGTATATTTTTACCTTGCTAGAAATGTTCTTATACAGTGATATTTTATCATTGCTATTCTTGAATGCTTTTTGGTAAATAACTCTGAAGGACACAGTGATAATTTAAAATTTGCTTTTGGAAATCTTTGAATTTTTTTATTGTAGATTAATGTCTGGATACCAGAATTGTCTGGCTCTATAAATGTGGATATTTTTTCATGAGAATATATCCCATTTAATATTTCACATTTCTTCATTTGGTAGCTGTATAAACAAGAACATAGGGCTTATTCATGGTAAGATGTATCAGTTCTCACTCTCAGCTGTGTTTGCAAAAAGTGAGATTAAGAACTTCCTAATATGTTGATAGAACTTTTAGGATTTTGTTTAATTTCACA